CGGTCGACTGCCTTTGCGGTGGCGGTCCCAAATTTTGATTTCTTTGTTTTGGATTTTGACTTTTCGATAAGCGTTTTTCACTAACTTTTTAAGTTGAAAACTTATTTTAAAATGTTTAAAAAGTTAGTCCTTGAAAATCGTTTTTCCATTTTATCAAATCATCCCTTTTTAATGCACCAAATCTTTAGTGATAAAATAGTCTTGAGCTTGTATCATTTGTATCATGTATCGATGTGTTAGAACCTTTACATAGTTTGCTAAGATGACAAGTATATGATCTTCATTTCAAACTTCGGCTCTTGTTTTCTTAAATGGTTTCTTGAATGTGACTTCAACATTGACTCTCTTCATGAGTTTGGTTTGTGATGATAGCTTTTGCTCTTTCGACGGCCATGATCGATATTCTTTTAATGCTCATTTGAAAACTATAATCACTTGAATTTAATTTGTTAGTAAATAAGATCAACTTGTTTGTTATAATCAAAGTCATAGGTCAACAGGCTGTATAGGCTTCCCTTATGCAGTCGTATAGACTAGTTGATAGCCTGCAATTGAGTTTCTATAAGGCGCTATGTGATTGCATGCATAGTTACCCTATGCGGTCGTATAGATCTTCACTCTAGCTCTCTCATCCGCTACTCGAACCAAGTTGATCCATCTTGTTCCGTCCTCCATGTCCAATATGAAACTTGTCATTTTGCTTGTTGTGGTCGATATTTCATCCACCGTACGTAGCTTGAACAAGTAATCACATGGCTTCTTTGACCTTCTTTGCTCGTGACCTAGTCATTGGTCCTTCCTCCACAATAAACAAATCATTGCCCTTACTACCTCTCCTATCATGGATTTCATCATTCCCTGCCTCTTCAAAAGGATTCATTATTGAATCTCCACTTGCATCAAACAAGGAGATATAAAAAACATTGAAAGTAACAGAGATGTTATACTCACCTGAAAGGTCCAACTTATAGGCATTGTCATTGATCTTTTCAAGCACTTGGAATGGTCAATCGCCTCTCAATTGCAACTTTGATTTCTTTTGAGCCAGAAAACATTCCTTTCTAATATGCACCTAAACCCAATCTCCTGGTTCAAATGTAACGAGCTTTCGTCCCTTATTTGCCTGGGAAGCATAATACTTATTTTTCTTCTCAATCTAGCATCATACCTTCTCATGGAATGATCTTACCAACTCGGCCTTCTTCCTTTCCATCTAAGCTACCTCTCACATCAATAGGTAAAGGAATTAAATCCAAATGTGGTAGTGAATTAAAACCATAAACAATTTCAAATGTAAAAAGTAGTAGAATGTATGGCCCTATTATATGTAAATTGTATGAATGTCAAGTAATCCTCTCAACTCTTCAAGTTCTTATCATCTATAGTGCGCAATAGTTGTATCATAGCATTATTAACAACTTCAATTTGCCCATCTATTTGTGGGTAACAAGTCGTAGAGAATAATAACTTAGTTCCTAACTTACCCTACAAAACCTTCCAAAAATGACTAAGGAACTTAACATTTATATCTGATACAATACTCCTAGGTACCCCATGTAAGTGCATTAATTCCTTAAAGAATAAATTCGCAATATTCGTGGCATCATCAGTTTTATAATGTGGAATGAAATGAGTCATCTTACTAAATCTATCTACCACCATAAATATGGAATCTCACCATTTTTTAGTCCTAGTTAAACCCAACACAAACTCCATAAATATATTAACCCAAAACTTACTAGGAACGGGTAATGGCATACACCTGTTAAACCTCCACTATGTGATTCACGTACTAACAATTCTCTCATTGAACACCTGAGTACACATAAGTTATTCTCCTGAAACAAATATCCATCATGCCTAAAGAATCTATCTATAAAACCTTTGTCATGTGGTTCATATATAATAGAAAAGTCCGGGTCATTAATATACATGTCCTTAACATATTCAAATCCTAATAATTTGGTACCTAAAGAAGTAAGAAGTACAACCTCTTTGACAATGCATCTGTCACCACATTTCTTTACCTTGTTTGTACCGAATAACATAAGGAAATATTTTGATGAACTCCATCCACCTTGCATGCCTCTTTTTTAGTTTACCTTGACCCTCGGTGTGAAATACGATCTCCTTTGGCCATAGGTAGTATTGTCATGTCTCCAAAACTCGAACAAATGCATACAACTCATTATCATACATAAGATAGTTGAGAGCTTCTCTACTAAATTTTTCACTAAAATAACCTATTGGTCTTCGTTCCTGCATTAAGACAGCTCCAATACCTATTCTTGAGGTGCAGTACACAACCTATTCTTATTAGTATTAAAAACATGTTCATGATCAATGCTCCAATAAAATCCTACACTTTCCTTTAAAATTTTCGTGAGTGGTGTGGGAAGTGTGCTAAAATCTTTAACAAAACACCTATAAAAACTAGTTAAATCATGAAAACTTCTTACCTCAATTATGCTTTTAAGTGTTGGCCATTCCTTGATAGCTTTGACTGTCTCCTTACCCACTTCAATACCCACACAACATAACCAAGAAAAACAACTTTTCCATACAAAATGTACATTTTTTAAAGTTAGCATAAAGTTGTTCTTATCTTAAGACCACAAGCATATATCTTAAATGTCATATATGCTCATTTAAATCATTACTATATACCATGATATCATCGAAGTAAACTACTATGAATTTACCTATATATGCATCCAAGACATGGTTCATTAATCTTATAAACGTGCTAGGTGCATTAGTAAGTCCAAATGGCATTACTAACCACTCATATAGACCATACTTACTTTTAAAAGCAGTTTTTCACTCATTCTCTTATCTAATCCTAATTTGATGATATCCACTTTTAAGATCTATTTTACTAAATATGTACGATCCATGTAATTTATGTTGTTGATCGCTCGACAGTCTATGCAAATCCTCCAAATCCTATCTTTCTTCGGCACAAGTAGCACTGGGACGGTACATGGACTCATAATATCCCTTACATACCCTTTGTTCATCAATTCTTCCACTTGACTTTGAAGTTCCTTGGTCTCCTCGAGATTACTTCGATAAGCCGACATGTTTGGAATGAACGCTCCAGATAAAAATTCAATTTGATGCTCAATGTCTCGAATAAGTGGTAGCCCACTACGCATGTCCTCCGAAAACAAGTTTTCGAATTCATGCAACAAAGAAGTAGCCAAATTAGGAGGAGTGTTTTAGATTCTCAATTTGAGGAATGATTCCTTATAAATCAACAAGATCATAGGCTAGTTCTCACCTACTCCCCTTTTCAACTCACTCCATTTTAAAAGGAAATTCAATTTTGACTTTTCTCTCCTCTCATAAGACTTTTTCTCTTTATTTTCTTGTTGCTCTACTTTTTTCCTCACAATTAGTCACTCACTTTTTTCTTTCTAGTTTTCCCGTTGTGAAAGATCAATTCACTCTCATTTTCTCTCGGTCTTTTTCTTCCTCACTTTTCAATTTGAGTTGATCTTCATAAACTTGTACTAGTATTAATAGTGTAAGGGTAACAGATTTCCAATCTTTAGTAAAGTGAAACCTATTTTTGTACCCATCATACATCACATTCCTATCATATTAAGACGACCTCCCCAGCAAAATATGTCAGGCTTGCATAGGAACTACATTACACATCACTTCTTCATGATACTTCCAATTGAGAAACTCACTAACACTCGCCTATCCACCTTAACCTCTCCACATTCATTCAACCATTGCAATGCTTAGAATGTTTTAGCATAGTTAATCTCAATTTCTCAATAAGTGTAGGCTAGCCACATTGGTACAACTACTCTCGTCAATGATCATACTACATACCTTGTTGTTAACAGACAACTTGTATGAAATATGATCTCTTTATTGCTCCAAGTCATCCACTTTGATGTGAGCACTAAGAACTCGCTGTTTAACCAATAGCTTTCCCACTGCATACTCCATTTTCTCACCATCACTAGTATCTTCCAATTCTGGCATGCCATCATATTCACCATCACGATCACTCACCATTTCTCCATTGTCACGCAAGATCATCGCCTTTTTCTTTTGACATTGAGAAGCAATGTGTCTCAATCCCAAGCACTTAAAATATTTGATATCCAGATTTCGAAGGGGTTGGGAATCCGCCTTGGGTGTAGCTTTGCTAGCAACTTCCTCTCTTCCCTTCGATAGCTCAGTTCTACTTTTTGAAACAACCTCATCACCTTTATTGTAGTGTGAATACTAGCACACCAATAAAGTCCTCTAAGAAGACAACCTCTTAGGCTTTTAGGCTAGGCCACAACCCTAGCCATCATAGTCGTACAGGGTATCTACTACCTAAAATGTTATATATAAAGACACCTTAGCCTCGTTCTACATATTACAATATTATTGTTTTACTTTCAGTTCAAAGCCTTTTTCATATTGGTTCTACTTTTATTGATTTTAGCATTCAATACACCAAAAATGATCATTTGCAATACTTAAAGGCAACATTTGTTGATAAATGTTGCTAAAATGGTCTTTTTGTAACATTTTAGTAAGTGAATGTTGCAATTAGTTAATATAATTGAGTTTTGACAACATTTTAAAAATGAATGTCGCTAATTTTACTTTTTACAACGTTTACTGATTGTTGCAAAAAGTTTCTATAGGCCATATTCTTGCAACGTTTATTAAATATTATGAAAAATCTAGTTCTGTAACATTTAATAAACGTTGTAAAAAGGTAAACTTATTTTTAAACATTGCAAATTACTTTGGTAGACTAACTTTCCGTAACATTTTTTAAGTGTTGTTAATTTATACTTTTCGCAACGTGTTTTAAACATTGCAAATCTTTTAGATTCACAACGTTTAATAAGTGTTGCTAAAGACTAACGAAATTAAGTTATATATGGGATTAAATTGAAGAAATCCAAATTAATTCCAACCCTAAATTCTCTCGCCATCCTGCGTAATCAGGTATTGAAGTAGGAAGAGGAAAGCACGACATGGGTTCAAAAAAGAAGCTGCTTTTAGCTCTAATTACTGCTTCCACAGCTATGAGAACAATCATTTTGTTTCTTTTGTGTTTCTGGGTTTATCATAGGAAGTACACAAACAAATCGAAGGAGAAAAGGGGTCATAGCTCAGGTACTTTCTATTGGGATTAATTTCTTTTATGGTTTCAGTCTTCAATTTCATAATCTTTCACTGAGATTTTTCTGCTTTTGTTTTCTTTAAAGATGTTGCAAAAGGGCTTGCATTATCTCAGCTTCGATTCTTGGGTAAATACAATACTTTCAAGACAAGTTGTAGAAACGGATCTGTAACTACAATGGAATACATGGTGTTAGAATCAGCTACTAACAATTTCAGTGAAAATGAAATCTTGGGTGTAGGGGGATTTGGATGTGTGTATAAGGCTAAGTTAGAAGAGAACTTATCTGTGGCTGTGAAGAGACTCCATGGGGGAACTTCAGACGCCATAAGAGAATTTGGGGTACCAAATTATCTCCAAAGTTCGTTTGTGCTTGCTCTTCTATCCACTTGTACTGCAGATCTCATGATCCTAAATTGATTGCTTATTCTTGAATTTACAGAATGAAGTAGAGTTGTTGAGCAATATTCAGCACCCGAATATAATTTCTTTGTTGGGTTGTAGCATTCATGCAGAAATAAGGCTTCTTGTTTTTGAACTGATGCAGAATGGATCTCTGGAAAGTCAATTGCATGGTAAAAACATTTCAACAATGTTAAATCATATGAGATACATATATGGATTAAGAAAATCAAATACAGATTTCTTAGTTTCTTATATAGCCCCCCGAGCACCTTTTAGATGGTACACACACTCGAATTTCTTAGTTTCTTTTGTTGTATGTAAATGTTGATTTTTCAGACTGCAAATTATGTTTCTTATTGTTGCTACTTCAGATTCGAGGACAAGAGTTCTAAATTTGGAAAGATTATAAAATTAATAGGCCATTAGTTTTGGCATATGGCTTGTTTTTGCCTTGTTAATTCCATTTTGATGATCGTGATTTTCCTTTTTTCTTTTTTCTCTCTTATAGTTAAGTTAATAGATAAAAGCGATGTCTATGCATTTGGAGTCGTTTTACTGGAGCTTCTACTGGGAAGAAAACCTGTGGAGAAACTGGCACTAGCTCAATGCCAATCTATTGTGACATGGGTATACCTGGCTGTTAAACACTTAGCACTTGGTTTTCTACTAGTCCCACAAACTTCTTTATTAGAAGCTTAATATATAGATGAAATGCAGGCGATGCCTCAACTCAATGATAGATCCAAACTTCCAAACATTGTAGACCTTGTGATCAGAAACACAATGGATTTAAAGCACCTGTATCAGGTTTGTGAATCTAAACTAATCTTTGGGACATGAAGTTTCAGGGTAGGATGGTGGTTGATTTGGATTAAGCAGAAACTGGAATTTGTGTGCTATATTAAGATATCCTCTTTGTAGGTTGCTGTATTATGCATTCAACTAAAACCGAGCTATCGTCCATTGATAACAGACGTATTGCATTCTCTTATCCCCCTTGTTCCCATGGAGCTTGGCGGCACCCTCAGAATTGCAAAACCAGAGCCGCCTGCAGTCGCCACAATGCCTTCCAACAACTGATTTTATCTAAGTGCAATTTTATTCAGTTGCATTGCCTGCACGGATCATTCCACCGTTCCCAAGGCGAGACATTTTCGATTACTTTTATGGGATTTCACTTTTTGCTTTAGAGCCTTTCTGGTATAAATTATAATCAGCTTTTAATCAATTTTTGCACCGTTTTTTATCAAATTTGTGGGGCCCACATCTCACAACAAGGTCCATATTTGCGGCTCCAACGGTAGAAATTGTGATTACAATCTTTACCAGACAAGGCCTCAGTATATATGCTGAGATAAGACACTTTATATATATAATAGTGAAACAAACATTAAACCGTTAGCCAATATATTTCCTTTATGTTTCATATGATCACACACTTGACAATTTGGAAAGTCTTCACCAGCATTCAAGAAGCCATATTTATTTATTCCACATTATTCTTCAACTATTTGATACAGATGCGATCGTTCGAAAATTTGTAGTAACAATATTTATGTCCAAAATTTTCTCGTACAGATTGAACATAGAAAAGACAATTCAATGACACTTTATAACGACACTTGAAGTGATCAATTCATCAAAATTCCTCAGGAGTTCATCTGGAACTTGTATCTTATGATCTTCTCTTCTACTTCACATTGTGGTATGAATCAACAGTGGCATCTACCTCTGATTATTTTTGAACGAGATTTTCCGATATATGGAGAATTTCACTGTGAACCTTGCTGTGGTAAGTGATGTTTTGAGGCCCATTACACCGGAGCCAAGTAACAAAAAATTAATGCTTTGTTCCATTGCATTTTGCATTGTTTTTTGGACATAAAAAATCCGTTTTCTGTTTCATCATTTGCAGGTCAAGCTCCGCTTGATGCCTTAGAGTATTTATTCTAAAGCTTGGTGTTGCAAGCGTGGCAATAAGTTATTCATGCCTAAGCAGTGCCAAAAGTTTATTCCTAATTTTATTTCATTTTGAAGATCCTTTTTTTAGGTGGTGTTGTATCACATTCTAATGTTCAAGTGTATAGATTCAAAAATTTTAATGAAATTATCAATTTTTATACAATTCCAAAATTTGTTCATAAGGAGTCATTTTTAATTTTGCTAATCAATTTGCATAAATTGCTGTAAAAAAAAAAAAAGGCAACGTTCAAAAATGCTGCAAAAAGTGGTTATTATCAACGTTCAAAAAACACTGCAAAAAGTAGTTATTAGCAACGTTAAAAAAATGTTGCAAAAAGTAGTTATTAGCAACGTTAAAAAAACGTTGCAAAAGATTTTTAGCAACATTTAAAAAACGGTCATAACCTTCTATTCTACGGCAACATTGAGCTTTGCAACATACGTCCAAACGTTGTAAAAGATCTCCGGCAACATTTTTTTAACGCTGCAAAATGTTATTTTTGTTGTAGTGATTGGAGAGACTACAAGGTAAATAATGTTAATCTTTGCGTTAGATACACAAAAATGTTGTTCATTATCATCTCTAGTCCATATCTCAAGTTTGGTCGCCGACAGTATTGCATCGAGGTAGTTAGGGATAGGGGCTTGATAAGTGTGTTTCACACACTTATTGAAGGCCTAAAATAAGTTTAATATTCATGAAATTGATGAAATTCTACTCAAAATTGTTTAATTATCGTCTTTGTAGGCAATGCTCCCCAATTCGAAGGAGAAATTTTTTTTGACTAAAAGCTTACAAAAACATGAACTTGGGAACTAAAGTGTAGAAGTGCAGAAAGTTGAAGGACTTTGGATACAATTTATCAAGGACATAATTGAACGAAAAGTTGAAACTTGATGACCAAAATGTAAAAGATCAAAGTTGAAAGATGTCATGCGATAACAAAGCGTCGCCCGTGAGAGAAGGGCTAGCCTAAAGGCAGTTTAGGCTAGGCGACGCGAGCGAGAAGTAGTAGCCCTTGTTTACGCATGGCCTTTTATGGGCTATGATGACATTATTTATTAGCAATATCGAAGTTATTTTAATTATCCTACGATGGCAAGCGTATTGGCAAAGGGGCATAATCGATTCTTTTGAGTGGAATTTTGGGGAATTTGTAGGTGCGCTTTTGGTCTACTAACCAAATTTCAGCCATTATTGTCCCCATTCATTGCACCATTCATTTTCCCATTCATTGAATAGATTGGAAGCGAGAGCTGGGGCACAAGGAGGCAAAAGAAGAGGAGAAAAACGAAGGAAAGTGGAGAGATTTTGGGGGAAAATCAAGACTAAACTAATCTTCATTTCAAGAATCTAACCAAGGAATATTTTGTCTTGTATTTTTTCTATTATTTTCTCTAACTTGTAATGTACTTTTCTAACTTTTCTCATTTTTACCATTTATATATAATGAGCTGAGTTCTTTATGTTGGGATGATTAATTTAGCTTAACATAACTTGATTAATTTTAATATTTGCTATTTAATATTAAAGTACTTATTTTCTATGTATGTACTGTTGTATTTTATGCTTTTCATTTATTTGGCTATTAAATTATTGTATTTGAATTATTTGTGCACTATTTGAGAGAATATTGTGCATATTAAATATTTTAGGTTATTGTAAGAGATAGAGATATATTCCTAATCCTCAGGGACGGACCCAGACTCGGAGTTGAGCCCGGGCGGACGTTGATCGGTCAACGTCGAAGTTCAACAAGTGTGCAACACATAAATCAGTAATGCTTAGCCATGCTTTAATTCAAGCATGAAGCAACACATACATTAATAGATCAATCACTAATTTTTTTCACTTATCCCTAATTTCCTAAAAACCTAAATTTCCAAATCACAATTTACAATTCACAATTTGGATTAGGTTTTGTGGCTAATGAACCCATAAATCTATGAACTCACTTAATGTAGTTTTAATGTATTTTAGGTAGCATAGAATTAGTCTTATGCATGGTAGGAAAATACTAGTACACGAATCAAAAATTAATAGATAATTCATTTGATGTACCTGATTCATAAAAAAGAATTAATTTTGATATCTTCACGTGTTATAAAATTATGAAACTTCCATCAAACCTGGTTTCGGTGTTTTACAGGCCATGGAGACTGGAGCCGAAAATGCTCTTTTAAAACATTGCTTTATATCAGCTACTGTTGTTTTCAAACCTGCAGTAGGCAAAAAATTCATTGAATTGAACAATATTTCCAAGATTTACAACAATCCTTAAACCTCAAATAGTTATAGCATATAGATTAATATAAATTGAGTCTGAAATTCGACCATACCTTTGGCCAATTGTTAAGTAAGTTTCTTCAACTGGCTTCGCTAATTGCAAGAGTGTGCCCCGACGTCTAATAGCATGTAAGCACCTCCGCAGGCCGCAGCTTTCACTTTTTCTGGTCGTTCGTCTCCTCCCTCCCGTTTTCATTTTGGAATTGAATTAGGTTTTGTGGCTAATGAATATATCCATTCATCCGGTGAACCAGACCAATGACCATGAATTAGGCTCATTCATTGAAAAGGCCCAAACTAACAAAGGAAGAAAAGAATTCTGGCACAATGGTTGTGTCTTCTTCATTCTTTCATTTCAGGCACAGCCGACACTTCTTCATTTCTTCCCAGTTTCGGGCGGATGGCGGATGGTGACCTGAGGCTCCGGCGGATCCAGCACGGGCGGCCGCGGGAGCTGGCCAGGTGCTAGGTCCGCCCCTGCTGATCCTAAGTGACTCATAGCAAATTGGCTTTTAAAAAATGAAAAATTTAGTCCAAATTCAGGATGAAAATCAAAAAGAATAAAAAATTAGCTCAACCCAAAAATTAATTTTAGCTTAATTAACTTCATTCCCAACCCAAACTCAATGTTCAATTATTCAAATTTAGTTTAAGACAAACAATTTTATTCATATTCATGATACACAAATAGCTCGTTATCAAATTAGGAATTTCAATTCACACACATATATATAACTAAGTTTTAAGAGTTCACTTTCAATCAAATTAGTTTATTGTATAACAAATAATTTGTATTGATTAAAGTAAAGATAAATAACTTATTTGACAGTATGAAATGCCACACGTTTGACTAACCTTAAAAGTAATTAAGTGGGTGTTTGGTTGAAATTAAAATTAGATTTTTAGTAGTTTGTGATAAAAGTTTTTGAAATGTGTGGTTGAAAAGCCGAGAGACTTATGAAAGATGTGGTTAATATTGATTGTTTGACTTTGATTTAAATTAAAATCTAATTTTAATCCGAAACAAACATGGCCTAAATTTTTTCTAATGTATTTTCTCATATATTACTTATTTATAATTGACAGTTACAAATTTATTTATTTCGACCATGAAATGAATGTTATTATCAAAATAAGTAATATGTTCTATATTTAATTTTATGTGTTAAGTATATTTGTTAGAACTTTGTTATGAGTGTCTAAAAATATATTGAAACACTTTATCATGAGTTTAACCTTTAAATTAAATCTCGTGTGGCATAGAGCATCTTTTATGGTATACGTTCACTAGTAATTAAATTTTTTCTAATGTATTTTTTCATATATTACTTATCTATACTTGTTAGTTAAAAATTTATTTATTTCGACCATGAAATGAATGTTATTATCAAAATAAGTAATAAGTTCTATATTTAATTTTATGTGTTAAGTATATTTGTTAGAACTTTGTTATGGGTGTCTAAAAATATATTGAAACACTTTATCATGAGTTTAACCTTTAAATTAAATCTCGTGTGGCATATAGCATCTTTTATGGTATACGTTCACTATGGGTGTCTAAAAATATATTGAAACACTTTATCATGAGTTTAACCCTTAAATTAAATCTCGTGTGGCATATATCATCTTTTATGGTATACGTTCACTGGAAAAAAAAAAAAGTTAAATTTCAACCCATTTTAATATATTTTTCTACCTCCGCCTCTGTGAGTAATCATTTCTCGTGAGATCGATACCCCGAACTCATTAGTCCACTTTATTACTTGTATGCGACTCACGCGCTTGCGGCATATGCGGTTCTTTACTAACAGGGCTTTTGGTGGAGGGAACAAGATGAATAGGTTTCGGGACTTGGTCCTTTTGTCATTGTCCTACTTGGGGGGTTTATGTGAATTTTATTTTTTGTAATATTTTTGTTTTCCTTTTTTTGTTTATTTAAAGTGAAGGGTTAAGCTGTCTTTTAGACGACCTTAATAGTCAAATTGGATGGAATTTGTCAACAGGGTCGTAATTTGCAAATAAGTGATAAGTTGAAATATCTAATGGTAAAGGAAAGTTGACGATAATTAGTTATAAATTACAAAGATTGAAGATGAAAAGTGCAAATTTCCTATAACAACAATACACATTTAAAAGGGTAGTCGTTGCATTGATTCCAACTAACTTATTTGGACACATACTGTTGTGGGTGTGAACATCCAGCTACATAAACCGTAAAGGTGGACTCAACATGCTGAAACCAAACTTTTTGCCTTTCTTTTTGTTCACTTGCGACAGCATAAAGGGAATTCTTTTGAATATTATCAATCATTTCTGTTCCACGTGAACAAATAGTTATTAAATTCGGACATTTTTATTAAAGCAGCATGTCCGTATCCTTCGACTCTCTACGATGTGTTCGATAAGTAACATTCCATATTTTTATGATTTTAATATGTTTCAAATTTTCGACTCTCAATGGATACTTTAAGAACACTCGTTCGCTATGTGTATGTGTCAGGTTGTATACTAAGAAGTATAAAATCACATATCAACGAGTTCATATCTTGTCATGTTGGCTGACACGTCGGTGCAGGTTTGTCTCAGTGCTTCCTAGACACAGAGTCATGGGATAAGAAATGATAATTTTTAGTTCTTAAAATAGGCAAGTCATTTTAGTGCATAGCACATGGAGATGCTGTAATAGTAAAACATAAGAGCTAAAACAAAGAGAAAAATGATGGAAGGAAGACGACAGAAATAAGGCAAATAGTCACGGGTCAGTAATGGATGAACCACTACCAAACAGCCATTTTACAGATGCCAACAATGATCTGTTATCAAATAATTCACTCACCAATTCAACTGTAGAACCCACTATAGTCCCGTGAGGTCTTGTCTTTCCACCCCAAAAGCTGCAAAACCCTCTCCCTATCTGGCCCTTTAAAAGAGAATTTAGAAGGGTGGATTTGTTGTTTTTTCAGTTTTTGCCATGTCTTCACCATTGTTGAGTTCTTGTGCTCCTACAAGATTTTCTCTTCAATTTTTCTTGATTATTATCTTGTTTTTATACACATTTGGTAATAATGATGTAGTTGTAAATGCTGCTACTCCAGCAGTGAAAGTTGGGAACATTTCACAGGTTGAAGATGCTGCTTATTTTCGCATATACTATGGCCAGACATTCAAAGTCATCAAGAATGGATTTGATGGCAAGAGCTATCTTCTCATTCAGGTATTTATCTTCTAATTCAGTGCTCTTTTCCAATGTATGTTTGTTCTGTTAAGCACTTTTCTGTTTATCTTCTAATTTACAATGTTTATACTTTTCTTTTTATCTTCTAATTTACAATGTTTAGTGTTAAGCACTGTTCAATCTTCGGTAGTAAACGGGACGTGATAGGATCGTCTTCCTTTTGTTTGTATTCTTGAGTTTTATTTGTTGGTTCTAGTGGCAGAAATGAGAATATCATGTGAATAAATTATGTCGAATAAAGCCACTTGTTCAGGATAAAAAATAGAAACAGTACAAACAGACTGAGTTGGCAGTGTGTGTGGATGTTTTTTCTTTTAGTTTTCAAACTGTCCAATAATGTATGGACACGTGTCCTTTCTATTTTTGAGTCTGTCTTGAATCTGTTCATGTAGCATGATTAAATTATGTCCATGTCTGGGTGCAATTTTTTTCAAATTATGTCCGTCTGTTGAATCTCATTTCTTTATTTCATTTTATCTACATGATTCAGACTCATACCATTTAATCCTTTCGATTTTCCATTACCAATTTTGCCCTTTTATCAATCAATGAATTCCCTTTCCCACGAACCACTTTCCTTTCTTCACCTACCTCTTTCCCTTCTTCTCCAATTGTGTACTGATTTCAAAATTCAATGATTGACGGAGTCCTTGGATCAACATTGTCGCACAACGTCACATCTTCGCCTTCTTTTCCAGCCTACAAGTTTTTGCAAGTGGGATACGCAACCTGCGAAACCCCTATCACAGCGAACAAATCGTAGATTTCAGAAATGGATAGCTTCAAAGTTTACCCTTTTTGATTCCTCATCATGAGATATTTGTGATACCCGTTCGTTGTTATAGATTTTTATATCCCATGTGTGTACAAATCGTAATAAGTAATAAAGGACATCAATGAGTTCGGGTATCATTTCCACAATTACTGCTATCGAACAATTGGTTAAATTATTCATAACTTTAATTTGATCGAAAAGAAATAATAAAATTTATGATTGGTGTTTAAATTATTCTAACCAAATTAAATTATCTAATGTACACAATTTATCAAATTTGAATTTGAAAAAAAAATGAATGTGGATGCTAGAATTTACAATTTTACCTATGGATCTCCTTTAATTCGTCGATCAAGATTCATCACTGTTGTAGTATTTGATCGAATTCTTCTAAAGTATTCAATTTACCCTTTTCGAGTTCTCATTGAATCTATTTAACTAATTCAATTGCATCTCTATGTGAATCAGTCTTGGTTAAACGAAATATTAGTTTTAAGAATTCATCTAATGACCGCAATATTTAATATAGGTATCTCTACACGTTATACTAAATTATCGAATTTTACTATGCGGTCTAAATCTAACACTCACCTCTTGATTCATAATAGATTCACAAAATTATTGAATAATTGGCCAAATAATTCAAAGCATTAAATTCATGAATAAAATCAACATATATGCATTTAAAGAACTAGAGTCTTAAATAAAAGAAATAAATGATCACACATAGATTACATTATTCGTCATAACTATGAATTTGGGTACTCATAATAATGAAAGAAAAATAAAAAGTATAGAGTTCATAATTGTTTCGAAATCTTGATTATGAAATGAATTGGATCTTGCACCAAGAATCTTCTTCAACCTCAACCTTAAAAGTGTTCAAACCCTAGCTTTTGCTCTTTGATTTTGATGATTATGTGCTTTTCTCTCTCCCCCAAATTGTGTGGAACTCCCTCAAAAGTTTCAAAATTTTTATTTATACTCTTTCCCACGTTTGTATCCTATGTAGGGTTTCATGGGCTTCAAAATGGACTAAAAATGTTTCCTAGATACACTCATGGCGCCACCTCTCGAACAAATTTCAAGATTGCACCTCTTTTAGTATCTTTATTATAATTTTATCTCCCAAAATTCGATTGAGGCGATTTAAATTGGGTTGTAAAGATTACTCAAAGGGCTACAATTTTATTAGAAATAACTATTTTCCAATTCGAACGTTTAGCATGCCAAAAATGGGTCTCAATCTCCGGTTGAAAATCTGGAACATCCTTGTGCAGTTGAAAATTGATTTGTAAAAATATTTTGGTCATATTTCACTCCTTTTAACTTCTAATTACATCTAATTGACTCATAACATTCTCGAATCTTCATCGTGATATCCGACACAACTTTTGAATATTTGCACTTTAGTCCCCAAATTTTGGATCTTGCCATTTTTCGCTTATTTCTTTCAATTCCATTTCCATTCATCAAGTTTCACTTAATAACAAATTATATAATAAATTAGACTATAATTCCATTAAAAGTATTACGACATATCAATATTTTAGAGCTCAAATAAGTATATTAAATACACTTATCATTTGTCTTTCTTCAACACCATGGATCCATTATACTACTCCGGTACGTTTTGCCATCTTGCTCGTCTTGCCGGCTTAATTCTTCCACTCCCTTTATTATTACAACTGAACTTAGTTTCTTCGTCGATCGTGGCACACCATATGTTCATCACATACACTATAAAAACATATTTATAAAGAACCTTTCATGGCTCACGCAGATGGGTTACCATCCCCACTCCTCCTCTTTGAATGCTTCTCAAGTGCAGAACGAACATATCCCTCGTAAAAATACCAAATGGAACGATAAGGAACATAAGATCTTTATAGAGGCATGTGAAACCGTAATTGCAGAAACTATAGCTTTGGCAATCTGAGTCTCACACCGTCTCTATCACATTACTACCAACTCTATACTAAAAATGAGTTTAGCATAAATGAATGAATTTGGATCATGAAAATAATAAGTTCAACTAACGCTGACCTAAAGATATGTTTGAAAGAGTTGTTGAGGGACTGAAAAAATTGGGAAAAAAAGTCTTCTGAAATAAGTATTTCATTTCCAAGTTTAATTTTTTTTTTTTTTTATCATTTTCCAAACAAGTTCTATTTAAGCATTTCATGAAAGATTTTAATTTCAATTGCATTATTATGTCGGGCTCTGACTCCGATGTTGAAATTGGAGAGGAAGAGTATCTAAATACGCTAAAAGAGGACATAATGGAGTTGCTTCGTTATTGCCAACTCACGGAACTCACCTTTAAGAACTACTTATTAAACTTAGAAATGAAATATTTATTACAGAAGACTTTTTTAACAATTTTTTCGATCCCTAACAACTCTTTCAAACATATCTTTAGGTCAGTGTCAGTCGAACTTATTATTTTCATGATCTAAATTCATTCATTTCTGCTAAACTCATTTTTAGTATAGAGTTGGTAGCAATGTGATAGAGACGGCGTAAGACTCATATTGCCAAAGCCATAGCTTCTGCTAATACGGTTTCACATGCTGCTATGAAGATCTTATGTTCCTTGTTGTTCGATTTGTCATTTTTACAATGGATGAGTTTGTTCTGCGCTTGTGGAGCATTCGAAGAGGAAGAGTTGGGATGATAACCCAAGGGTCTTTAAAATTTGTGCTTTTAAGTGTATGTGACGAATAGATGGTGTGCCGATCGACGATGAAATTAAATTCGGTTCTAATAAAGGGAATGAAAGAATTAAGTCGGCGAGATGAGCAAAATGGGCAAACATACCAAAGTAGTATATGGATCCATGGTGTTGAAGATATATGAGCAGCAGCACAAATAGCTCACGATGGGGATTCAGAAAGGGTTAACTTTGAAGCTATCCTTTTCTTAAATCTGCGATTTTTTTGGCTGTGATAGGAGTTCCTTGGGCTAGGATCTCCCGCTTGCAAAAATATGTAGGCTGGAAAAGAAGGCAAAGTTATGACGCTGTGCGACGATGTTGGTCCAAGGATTCTATCAATCGTTGAATTCTGAAATCGGAACACAATTGGAGAAGAAGGGAAAGAGGTAGGTGAAGAAAGAAAAGTGGTGGTGGGAAATGGAAATCAGATAAAATGGCAAGATTGGCAATGCAAAATCAAAAGGATTAAATGGTACATGTGGGCTGTGATGCCATGGCTCCAGTCCACTTAAGGCAATGATGATTTGTCTTCGGCCCAATTCCTATATTCCTATTAAACTGAAGTAAGCCCAGTGAAGCCAACCCAGAACCCGACCCAAAACTTAAGTAAAAGTCAGTTGCTCTGAGCTGTTGGATTTGATCTGCTTAATCTCGAAGGTTGGGATATTTGAGGGAGCCTGATCGTTTCTATATTCATTTGATTCTATTCTCTCGTTCTTCTAGAGACTTCTTAATGCTCTCCTGTTCATCTTCTTCTTCGTGAGGTTTACTCTAGAATTAGTTTCTTGAGTTGTTTTCTGTGTGAAATCCTTGTGTGTGTAAGGCCTTTAGTGTGGTAGTGTTGAATCCCTCAGGCTCATTGAAGTAGCTTTGTGTATACGGTTTGGTTGTGGGGGGGTTTTGGTGAATCTGGGCTTACAGTGTGGAAGGAGTTTAGATTAGATGTTCTGAGCCTATACATCTGTGAAATCTTCGCTGTGCAGTGTTTGATCTGGTGGCAGATTAGTTTAGTGATTTCATGTTCTTGAGATTATTCGAATTTTAGATCGGTAACTTTTGAGTTATTCTTATTGTATAACAGAACGTTTATAAGTCTGAATCATGCCAGATAAAATGGAATAAAGAAGTGAGATTGATCAGTATAACGGTCAAAATTTTGCTTAAAATTCTAAAAAAATAAAAAATTGAGCCCAGACAGAGACCTAATGTTAAAATTAGTGTACACTCATTAGTGAAGTATCTTTTTCTTCACATTTGATGGGTTGCCGTGTTTGCATATTGTTATTTCTGCAGAATAATACGAGGATGGCTTCTAAAACAAAATATTGCACGTCAAGAATAAAATCCTTTGTGATTCCACTAGCTAATTATTCAGTTGATACAGATTATTTTCCAGGTAATTTAATTCAGAGATACTTAACATCAATTTCTTTTTATCTTTTTCGTTTTTGTGCATCAACTATATTTGATCTGACTATTTGGTTTTCCTCTGGTCATTTTCCTTTCCCTTTTCTATTCTGAATTTGCAGCTTCTTTCTTCGAGGTGAGGATTGCAAGTCTTTGTAGGTGAAGTATATATAATTTTTATTAATTTTCCTCTAATTTCTAATGTCTGAACTCTCTGTTTTTAGTCAGAAATATTAAAAACTCTCACTTTTCATTAGGAGGAAATGAAGATATTACATAGCATGAAACTAGGAGTGGTTTTAAGACTTCGATATAAGCTCAGGAAGCTGCATCATTTTGTTGTAGGATATTGAGTCATCGATTAATAGTCGACAGAAAACCTTTTACCACAAATTTCATGTGAATTTGGGATTCTTCATTTAGACTTGTTCTGAAATATACCTGAACATCTTTTTTTACTGGGAGTATCAAGATTTCTTGTGTTATTATGGAGTTCACTAACTACCATACTTTACGAGTGCACAGCTTCTTGGCTTACTGGGAAGTTTGAAGGGTATTACATCAGATTTTGTGGCATCTCAATGCGTGTTAAAATTGTATAACGACGGTCAAGTTCAGATGATAAACAAAAGTGATTCACAAGCATTCACCCAATTCGCAGCTCACTTCATTAGCAACACTGATCAAGCACAATCCTGCAACTTTGCGACTTTTCTCCCAATGGGCGAGGATACTTCTCTCCAGGTGTGAAGCCCATATCGTTTTCTCTACCCCTTAACTGAGCTATGATGTGCATCTATAAATATTTGTATCACCAGTACAAGCACATAATGATAGGGCATTTCCATTATATCTGTATTCGTGCATGTAATGCATATCTATGGTCTTTTGCCGTATTGGAAACCAATGTAGGAACTCACTAACCCGTTCCTTGTCTCAATCTCAGCGAGCGGAGTGGATCAAATATTTGGGTGTTTTTGCTAATTTAGAAACAAGAGCAAATCAAGTCTATGATGCAGTAAGTGAAAATTGTGTAATAAACATCTAAAAGCCCCTGATTGACAACCATTATGTGGGTAGAATGGAGTTTTGAATAGTGATTTTTGTAGAGAATGTGGTTAATAAATAAGGAAAAAAATTTGGTTTATATGCAGAATATTTTATTGTAAGAATGTATGGTTGAACATGAGTATGTGAAAAAAAAAAATGGAAGGAGTTTTGAAATAATGGTTGTCAAACAGAGGCTGAATCTAGTAAATATTGGTGAAGATGAAGACTGCTAATATCTAGGTAATATATAGCAGATTGAAGTGTTATTTGAATGATTGAAGATTTTAGCTCTTCCATCCTAATAGTGATAGTTTATATCCTTTGCAGATTAAGGCCAACTATAATTGCCTGAGTAAAGCTGTTGCTAGCCGGAACAAGTCATTTAAACCTATAGTTGCTTGGATGGAGTACACTGATGTACGTACTGTAAATTATTAATTTCACTAGTGTGCCTCCTTTTCCAGTGTGCCACATCATGTATTGGAAATCCTAATTAAATGTAGCTCATCAATTCTGTTAATTGAAATCTGAAATTATAACTTTGTAATAATATAAAAGTTAGTGAAATCGAGTAATCTTGCAAAACTCTTTTTCCAAGCTTGTATTCACATGCTTTCATTCCATTGCTGTAGGGTGTCTGGTCTTTCACAAAAGAGACGTACAAGCAAAAGGTACTCTTAAAGTGGAGAATTTTTTCGTGAATTCCTCAATTTACAACAATTCTATAGACATCTTCTCTTTTAAGCAAGCAATGCATTATGCAACTAAGCAGGCAAATTAGGCTTTCAGATTTAGTGTTTTTATTTTTTTTCATTTACTTAACATTGCATGCAGTATGTGGAGGATGCAGGTGGAGAGAATATTGATAACTCCATCAATAAAGTTACATATAACATCTCTATACCTGATGACTTGGATGCTTTTCATGCAATTCTCTGTGTAAGTCGAAGTGTTTCTTGTATCTTTCCTAATGTTAGACGGGCTCGGTTTATGTCTGATTTCTTTGCAGCTTGCTTGTAAACTTGTACTAATCAAATTTCTTTTTGTTTAGACTGTAGATGTGGTGATTGATGAAACCTACACTTCTGATCCAGTAGCCTACACTTCCTCTACCTTTCTTGAAAATTTATATGTGGAAGATCAATCTTGCTTTGCTTTTGTTGCTAATCAAAGCTTGTGGAGATTCGATAAAAGAATTGGAAATTCAACTGCTCTTGGTAAGTAATGGCATTTGTATTGGCCAGTTGTAGATTACAGATAAATGAATATCAGCAAAATTCTTGAAATAATTTCGTTTTTTTTTTTTTAACTTCTTGAGATTATTTGATAATATTTTCCATTTTACTTGCTTCTGACGCTGTGGAAGATTGGTATGATGGAGCTATCTCCCAGCCTCAACTAGTTCTTGCCGATCTTATTGAAGCTTTATTTCCATCAGAAAATTACACAACAACATATTTCAGAAATATTGCTAAGGTACTTGACTCTCTTTAGTCCAGTTGAGGAAAATTTTCGCGTTCACATCTGTTTACGTCTAGTGTAATAATGCAGGGGGAAGGATTCGTAAACATTGGTCCTGAAATGTGTGATAGAGACAGCTCTACTGCCATGGAACCTGTAATTGTAGCTTGCGAATGAAATATTCTGAAAATTGAAATTATTTTGTCACATTTCTTTCAATTTTGTCACAATAGCTTCTTTAAAATATTCATTGTATATTTTAGACCAGAATTTTCATACCACCTTTATGAACAAGTTCACATGAGATGTCAATTGGTCAAACAAGCCACGTCTTGTTAGCCAAATAATAAATCTCACATTAATTATATATGAAATAAATATCATTTAGTTTACAACTTGTAGCTAGTTATTTTTTTTTTCTTCATTATCTATACTGTCCCACGAAAACCTTCGTTTTTATTGCAAAATATACTTTTCGGTTGCCTTAGAGAAGGATCCTCCACATCAGATAGGCTTGGAAGAAGATATTTTACGTTGAAATCCATGAATCAAATCACTTAAATGATGGAAATTGAATCGCAAATGAATACATGAAAGGTTTAATCTATTCTTAATGAACAACAATTGATTTTCAAGTGAGATAGTTAAAGTTCGATCCTACACTTTTAACTGATATATTAAGACGAGAAAATAGAGAAAATAAACTCCATCTATTAAGCAATATGGATTATCGATGTTAGAACCGATCTTTATTTCATCGTAAACATATAAACAAACTCAGTACATCTGGATTATGAACTCAATCCACAGTTTCTTGTTTTATTTTTGTCTGTACACAAACCAGCACTCTTCTATATACTAGGTAAAGTGATGGAATTTAGAAACCAGTTAAATGGCATAGAATTTGGCAGTCCACTGTCCAATCTTACCGGAACAACCTGGAAATTGAAATGATTAGTCATTAAAAAAAAAAAAAAAAGTAACTAGAATTATTGCTTGGTGGATTGTAATCTTACCGGAACCTGGACTCTGATGACCTGAGATGATCAAAGCAAATAAACAATTACATCAGTGTAAAGTTACTTAATTTTATGCAAGATTACTTTCAAAATAAATAACTTTTACTTCATATTAAACCTAGCCAAAGGCACTCTGAACAAATAACTATAAGCTAGGATGATGCTATGTAAATGTACAAAATGTTGGTCGACTTGCCTTCGTGATAACACTGGTTTAGTCTCCTTTTGCTTTGGCTCTTGTTGTGGAGTTTCTTCCTTTTTAGGCAACAGATTCTTCGCCTACAACAGTTTCATTGAGAGGCAGTTAAGATCTCGCTCAATTTAAAAGAATATACAAAAGCATTTTACTTAAATCAGAAAACACATGTACCAAGTTCCTAAACTGAAGATTGTAAAAGGTCTGAATGTATCTTTTCTTTGCTTGCTTCTTATAACACTGTCTCCAGAAACTATATATGCACCCCATATTCAAAACCTTATTCGCATAGATCTTCCATGTATAGCTGCAATACAATCTGGTATCAGTAATTATTAGAAGTCCATGGAAACATATGAGAGCTCGTTCTATACTTACCATTCATATATACGCTGTAGTCCCTGAATGGAAATCCTGTTCCAATATTCAGGATCCTCCTTGCACTTCTGGAAAAAGTCTGCAATCTTGTTGCTCGACTCGTCTCCATTGTTAGGGTCGATATGAAAACCCGAAACCCCATCGATGATAATCTCAGCTGGGCCTCCTTGATTAGTCGCAAAAGTAGGTAACCCACAGTTCATAGCCTCAATTACTGTAAGACCAAATGCTTCATATAAGGCAGGCTGCACAAATGCCCCCTTTGTTTCAGCAATGGTACGGTATAGTTCACCATTTCTTTTCCTGTCAGTTTGGGCTGCAATCCATCTTAGCTGTCCCTTGAGTTGATACTTTTCAGTTAACATGTGCATCTTTCTTATTTCAGATGCTTCTTCTCTGTCTTTGGATTTCGAAGGATCAAAGAAAGCTCCAACAATAACAAGATTAACCAAGTCTCTGAGCCTCCTGTTCTTCCCGTACCACTCTGTTAATCCTGTAATGTTCTTCACTATGTCAAGCCTTGCCATGGAGAAAATTATTGGTTTCCTTCTATCTTCTAGATATCCACTGTTTGGGGAGGAAAAAAAAAAACAAATCAATATTGAACTACTTCAACAAATGTGAACATAAATTTAAATATTTGTTCACTTACATGTGCTCGTTGTTATCAACTTTACTAAAAAGTAGTTCTTCTATAGCTGGCTGAAATGTCGTAAATCGCTTTTGTTCCTCAGTGGGAGGGAAGTAGACTGTTTGGTCTGCCCCAGGAGAAGCAATATTGAATTTAGGATCGAAAACATTGATCCCTGAAACAACTCTGTACAACCCTGGAAGAGTAAATGCAGTATGGCTTTCATACTGCCCTGGCCTATCTTTGCTGCAAGCATGAAACATCTAACACATATTAAGCTCTTCACTCATCAACCACAAATCTATTTGAATTTCTGGGTTTGTATTGGCTGAGATTTCTAGATTTTATGCTATGTAAATTAAGTTGTTCGTCTGGCAGTAATGAAAATCCCTTAGGTTACTGAGAATAATGTTGAACACATACCTTCCAGCAATTTCTTGGTATGTGCTTGTGATGATGAAATCAGCAGTATTCATCGCAATCAAATCAGCTGTAAACTGGCACGAAAAGTGATACTTGGGGTCAAATTCCTTCAGCTTGATGTCTGAATCTTCATACTTCGTCTTCTCTAAAGCATGTGCAATAGTTCCCTAGTTGAAAATACTGTTTGTCAGCAAAAACTCTGCAGTTTAAAGAGTTCATAACTCGAACCATAAAAGATGTGATTAACATTGGTACCAGGGTTGTGTCAAGTTTACTAGCCATGAGTGCTGCAACCAAATTCCCATCAGTATAATTTCCAATTATTAGATCTGGTTTTCCTTCCATTACTTCAACGATTTTGGCAGTTGCATCCTGTGAAATTAAGAACCGCAATGCTGAGAAAAAACAATTTTCTGTCCACTAAAACCAGAATCTTATTTATCATCTAGCACGTACCTGAGTGAACTTCTCAAGGTAAGGATAGATGTCAAATCGAGAAAGCCATTGGCGAAGTATTCCGTCTTCAGTCCTAAATGGCACTCTGAGGATATAGGAGTGTTTTGTGTTGAAAACAGGTTCTAGTTCCTGATTGCACTTGGTCCCCTTAGCATCAGGAATTAGTCGAGTTACCTATGTAATGAAGATCAGCACATCCTTATATTTCACTTCTGATTTTAGATAAATCAAAATATAATTTTGGAAGTGCTACTAACCACAAGAATATGAGGCTTCACATTAAGACCTTGCTGCTTAATTCTAAAAAGTAATTCCTCTTCCAAGGCAACAACTTGATCCAAAACGTAAACAACCTGTCAAAATATAGTAAAAGAGACCAGCATTGGGCTAAGCACCAGTTATTTTGCCAAAGTAATTATTTTTCTAGTCACGGACCATAGAATGTTTACCTGCCCACCAGTGTCTGGCAAGCCAAGAACATCTTCCTGGCCAAAATATCCATGGACAGAAAATAATACAACATTGAATATCAATGGAAGCCTACCAAAGAACTTCTCGATATTTAATGGATCTGGCGCCTGGAATATTTCTGAAAGCGATCGCATAGTCTCCTGAACTCTTTCAGCAATGTCACCCCATCCCTTTTCGAAGCCCCACTCTTTAAACCTGCAGGTGATGCAACATATGTTAAATTCTGTAGAACGGATTATAGATGTAAGAAATACGAAGGAAGGCAAATTGACCTCATCTCGAAGCTCTCATACGGTGTATCTTTTGGTAGTGAAGACAGGGCTGCTTCGGCCACTATCAGGGCATCCTGAAGCTTTGAGACCGTGCTGAGGGTCTCATTGATCATTAATTTCTGCACATATAGGACCAAACAATGGTTTAGAACTTGATTTCTTTCATTTTTATCTGGACCTTTTAAGATTTATATAAATCATTTACATACATCTCCTTGGTGGTTTAGTGAGAGTAAGTAATCCACAAGAGATTGTGTGCTGTCTACGACATTATTCATCTTCGAAGAAAGAAACTTTGAGACGTAATTGACTCCATTTCCAATTGAAGAAGATAGAGTCAGGCGAGGCATGGAGAAATTCATTGCCTCAAAATCAATTTCCAGTGCATTTTCATCTTTCGCCCTGCAATTTAACCATATATTAACTTCTTTTGCACCATAACATTTATGCATTACATGCCATTTTCACACCATCCCAGAAATATTCCCAACCATTATTTTATACAAGAAGAATAGAAAACAACCATGAATTAATTTATATACCAGTTTTCATCCACTGTCATTTCCTTGTACTTTAGGTACTCTGTTGCAGTTATTCCCTCTACAGATAGATCATTTGCGCTTACTTTAACATACTCCCAAAATCCAGGAGAGGGTCTAATGGCAAAGGCAACATATGGAGGTACAACTGCAGCTTCCTGCAATTTTTTGTTTGAAAAACTTAGCGTTGAATTGATAAAATAACGAAAATTTAAATAAACTGTAAAAACTTCAATTGTAAACCACATTGGAAGACGTGGAACATCCTCTCCTTTCAACAAGCCGTTTTAAGATGAGTTCTACCAAACAGGTCGTTACATTTGATATCAGAGCCACCCTCATCTCAGTGGACTCTCGTCGCGGACCAGACTCTGAGGAGGGCTATTTCTAGTAAAACACTGGTTTTTTACAAAGTCACCATAAATAAAATGACCCCCACGGTCGCGGATTCTAGGAGTGGAATCCTATATTGCTCGTGGATTGCCTAAGTTGTAAGTTTATAAGTACATAGAGCAACCTGGGACGAGTTCGACCAAAAGATTGTTTCATAAATGAACCGAAAAAAATAGAAATTATACCTGAGTTGTGCACAAAATATAGCCCAACAACCCTTCACGTAATTGAGTCTTTTCTGCTTTATCATCTATAACTTGATCCATTTCACTCATTAAATGGTGAAGTTTCATCAACCTTTTTCCTTTTTGTGTATACTTCGCAAAGCACCTCTTCATGTGATACCGGCTTTGCCTTAATGCCTCCGGCATGGTATCTGCAATGGATTCTGAGCGTTTCAAGGCGGGTGCAGTAGAAGCCATTTGGTATTTTGGGTTTTTAAGATATGTGTTCGGGATTTAGAGAGGAAATTGGGAATTTGATGCTCATTTCAACATTTTTTGGGCATTTATAGATGAATGGTGTTAGCATTTTTCAATGTTTAAAGAAGCAGTTTAGGCTGGAAATTGAACCGAACAAGGTAGAGAAGAAGTTTCAGTTCCGGAGAAGGATAAAGAACATTCTTTGTAATATGAAGATAGAAAAAGCAAGGAATTTTAGAGTCCTAAAGGTTGTAAATTGAATTTTATAAGGTATCATTCCTTTCTTCTTTGTATCAATTTAAGACCCTACTCGAGCACATGGGATAAAACAAAATAAAAAAATTGAGTTTGAAGTGAATTCTCGAACTTCATTCTTAATTATATAGTATATTTGTGTCATCAATTATAGTTTTTAAACAAATTGATAACAATATCTTATATTTGGTTTGATGTCAGAGTTAGAGGTTCTCACTTCGACTGAAGCATTCCCGTTGAATGGATGGATAATTCATAATCGAGATTGAGCTCGACAAATTGAGCTTGGTGAATTAATTAAAAAAGTTTTGTTGAGCTAGTGGCCCCAACAGAAGCATACTATGTTGGTTGTCGTGTTATTCTTTTATGTTTAGCCCACCAAAAACTGTATGCGAAAAATCTCTACAAAGACGACTATGACGAGATCAACCCAATTTAATTGATGCAACAAAATAATGCGCGAGAAGATTAACAAACCAAAAACTTATCGATTTATATAAGATTGAGAATTTGAGCAAACACTTAATGTCAAAAAGTAATTGGCACTTTAATTATAATTATAATTTATACCCTAAGTCTCTCATCTCTTCGAAAAATAATTAATAAGTTCTAAATTAATAAAAACCGAAATAAATAAAAGACTCCCCAAGCTACCAATAATATCAAATAATCATAATTCTAAATAATTAAGAGCTTGTTATGGAGATATTTTTTGAAAGTTAAAATGATTATTATGAAGAATATGTGGTCGAAAAGTAGGTAAAATTATGAATCTCATATAACATGTAATTGAAAGTGATTTTAAGAAAAAAAAATTATATCCCAAACAAGTTTTAAAATAAACATAATGATTATAGGCCAATGAATAAGGAAATTCCAAATCGAAGAGATCAAGAACATTGAAGATTGAGTTATTTATCGAACCTCATTTAT